TTCACACCCAATCATCCAAACTACTCCAATCAACCTGAACTCGTGTGTGATGCTTAGGGACTCGTGTGAACAGTGCTTGGACTCTTTTAACATATATGGATGATTGATGACCACATAAAAAAATGCAAAATGAAATTGAGAAAATTAATTCCTAATCTAATGCAAATAGCATAATAAATTAAATAAAAAGGATACAATGGGTTGCCTACCACCCAGCGCTAGGTTATAGTCGATAGCTCGACTTTTCTACAGCTGCTTCATTCTAGTGTCTCGAGTTGAACGGTGGACTTTTGGTTGGAGAAGTCATCACCCCAGTAGTGTTTTAGTCTTTGCCCATTAACAATGAAGGTATCCTTAGTCTCATGGCTCACTTGTATAGCCCCATATGGTAGGACTTTCGTGACAGTATAAGGACCCGACCACCTTGATCTTAATTTTCCTGGGAAAAGCTTGAGTCTCGAGTTATACAATAGCACTTTCTGCCCCACTTCGAACTCTCGCCTTTGAATATGCATGTCGTGCCACTTCTTGGTTCGTTCCTTGTAAGTTTTGAATTTTTGTAAACTTCCATTCTAAACTCATCTAACTCATTAAGTTGCAGTAGACGTTTTTCACCGGTGGTGCTCAAGTCCATATTCAACTGTTTCATAGCCCAATATGCTCGGTGCTCCATTTCTAGTGGCAGATGGCACGCTTTCCCAAAGACTAGGCGGTATGGAGACATGCCTATCCGGGTCTTGAATGCTATTCTGTAAGCCCATAATGCATCGTCCAATTTTTTAGACCAATCCTTTCTAGATGAGTTCACAGTGACCTCGAGTATTCTCTTCAACTGCCGATTAGACACCTCAACTTGCCCGCTGGTTTGTGGATGATATGGAGTAGCAACGCGGTGTTTAACGCCATATTTATTTAACAACTGCTCAAACTGGCGATTGCAGAAGTGATTGCCCCCGTCACTGATTATAGCCCGCGGTGTACCATATCAAGTGAAAATGTATTTCTTCAAGAACCCAAGTACTGCCTTTAAGTTATTTGTTGGCAATGCAACTGCCTCCACCTATTTTGATACGTAATCCACTGCTACCAAGATATACTGATTTGAGAACGAAGAGGGGAAAGGTCCCATGAAGTCAATTCCCCAAACATCAAATATCTCCACTTCCAAAATGTTATTCAGTGGCATTTCATTCCTCCTCGAGATATTCCCAGTGCGTTGACATCGGTCACACCTCCTGACAAACTCAAATGTGTCTCTAAACAGTGTAGGCCAGTAGAACCCTGATTGTAGAATCTTTGCAGCTGTTTTTGAAGCCCCAAAGTGCCCTGCGTATGCAGATGAATGGCAGTGCTCGAGAATCTCATGTACTTCTTCTTCAGGTATGCATCTCCTTACTATCTAATTAGCCCCCGCCTATAGAGAATTGGGTCCTCCCAAAAATAATACTTCAATTCGACGAAAAGAACTTTTTCCTTTGGTGACTCGAGTAGTCCGGTGGTGGGATGGAACTGGCCAAGTAATTGACGATATCTGCATACCAAGGTGCTTCATCTACTCTCAACATCTGCTCATCTAGGAAGATCTCATTGATGTCCACTAATTCTTCTGTCTCCACAGGCTCTAATCGGGATAGGTGATCCGCTACTACATTCTCACTGTCCTTCTTGTCTCGTATCTCAATATCGAATTCTTGCAGTAATAGCACCCAACGAATCAACCTTGGCTTTGCATCATTCTTTGTGAGTAGATACTTCAATGCAGCATGATCTGTGTAGACGATGACTTTAGACTCGACAAGGTATGACCTGAATTTGTCGAATGCATATACTACAGCCAATAGCTCATTTTCAGTGGTGGCATAATTGATTCGCGCTTCATTTAGAGTCCTACTTGCATAGTAAATTACGTGAAAGATTTTGTTCCTCCGTTGTCCTAATACTGCACCCACGGCGTGATCACTTGCATCACACATCAATTCAAAAGGGAGTTCCCAGTCTGGTGCCACAATTACTGGTGCTGTCGTAAGCTTCTCCTTTAAAGTATTGAATGCTTTGAGGCATTCTTCATTAAACTCAAAGGTTACATCTTTTATTAGCAGATTGCATAACGGTTTAGTGACCTTCGAGAAATCTTTTATAAATCTCCTGTAGGACCCCGCATGCCCCAAGAAACTACGAACTCCTTTAACTGATGTAGGTGGTGGTAACTTCTCAATAACTTGAATTTTTGCCCTGTCTACCTCAATTCCTTTTGCTGAGATTCGATGCCTGAGTACAATGCCTTCTTGCACCATAAAGTGACATTTTTCCCAATTTAAAACCAGGTTAGTCTCCTTGCATCTCTGTAAGACCAAATTCAGGTACTCTAGACATTCATCAAATGAAGATCTAAACACTGAGAAGTCGTTCATGAAAACTTCAATAAACCTTTCAATCATATCGGAGATTATCGCCATCATACATCTCTGAAATGTGGCTGGAGCATTGCAAAGACCAAAAGGCATCCTACGATAGGCAAAAGTACCATAGGGACAGGTGAAAGTGGTCTTCTTCTGATCTTCGGGTGTGACAGGTATCTGATTATAGCCCGAGTATCCATCAAAGAAACAGTAGTGTGAATGTCCAGCCAATCTTTCTAACATCTGATCAATGAATGGGAGGGGAAAATGATCCTTTCGTGTGGTTGCATTGAGTTTGCGATAGTCGATGCAAACTCTCCATCCTGTAACTGTTCTGGTGGGAATTAATTCATTCTTCTCATTTTTCACCACCGTGATTCCTCCTTTTTCGGTACCACTTGAACTGGGCTAATCCATGCACTATCTGAAATTGGGTAAATAATTCCTGCATCCAGTAATTTCAGTATCTCTACCCTGACCACTTCCTTCATGTTCGAATTTAATCTTCTCTAACCCTCTATACCTGGCCTGCAGTTTTCCTCCATTAGAATCTTATGCATACACAGAGAAGGGCTGATTCCTTTAATGTCAGCTATTGTCCACCCAATCGCCGTCTTGTTTTCTCTGAGTACCCTGAGCAATTTTTCTTCCTCCACCTTATTGGCTGTATTCGAAATGATTACTGGAAGTGTATCTGACTCCCCCAAATATGCATATCTGAGATGTGGTGGTAGTTGCTTGAGTTCCAAAACTGGTGGTTGCTGAATGGAAGGCAGTGGCTTTGTATTTCCCGTCCCCAGTTCCTCGAAGTGCCTCTTTCAGGTGTATGGCGGGTTGGTCTCCAAAAATCTTGCACATGTTTCAACATCAAGAGACTCTGACTGGACTGATTGAGATTGTGCAATACATGCTTCATAGGCATCAGATGGGTCGTGAAGTAAGAACGTTTCTTGTATGGCCCTGTCAATAATATTAACTTGATAACAACTGTCAGATTCTGCTGGTAATTTCATTGTCTTGAATACATTGAACGATATCTGCTCCTCTCTCAATCTTAAAATCAACTGCCCCCTTTGAACATCAATTAACGCTCTCCCTGTTTCCAGAAATGGTCTGCCAAGGATCAATGGAACGTCCTTGTCTTCTTCCATGTCCAAGATAAGAAAATTCGTTGGGAATATGAACTTCTCAACCTTGATAAGCACATCTTCAATCATTCATCTGGGATGTGTCAGTGACCTGTCAGCCAGTTGAAGTGTTACAGTGGTTACTTTAGCTTCTCCCAAGCCGAGTTTCCTGAAAACAGACAGAGGCATTAAATTAATACGTGCACCGAGGTCACATAATGCTTTATCAAAATATACTTCACCGATTTTGCAAGGGACAGTAAAACTCCCTGGATCTTTTAGTTTTGGTGGGAGCTTATTCTGGATTCTGGCACTACATTCCTCCATAAGCACAACTGTCTCATGGTCTTCTAGCTTGCGTTTATTTGATATGATATCCTTCAGAAATTTCGCGTAGCTAGGCATCTGAAACAATGCATCGGCTAGTGGGATGTTGATATGAAGCTTTTTGAAGACTTCTAGAAATTTTTTGTATTGTTGCTCCTTTTTTTGCTTCTTCAAGCGTTGTGGAAAGGGAATCGGAGGCTCGTAGGGGTTGACTGTGACTTTGGCCTTATCCTGTGACTCTTCTGAATTTTCCTTTGAACTTGATTCCTTTACAACAGTCTCTTCTTCAGCGGGGGAAGATGTTTCTCCAATCACACCCGATCTCTTGACATGGATTTCAGGCAATTGTACTCCACTTCGAGTTGTAATGGCCTTGGCTTGCTCTTTAGGATTTATTTCTGTATTACTTGGTAAGTTACCTGGCGTTCTGCCAGTCAATGTGATGGCTAGCTGCCCCATCTGAGTTTTCAAATTTTTGATGGCTGCATTTTGATTTTGAAGTGTAGCTTCAGCTTTCTCCATGAATTTTCCTATCATATCTTCCAATTGAGGCCTCTTCTTTTGTTGTTGAAATTGCCCCTGTGGCTTATTCTGATTTTGGTTGCTCCAAGAGAAGTTGGGATGCTTCTTCCAGTTGGGATTGAAAGTCTCTCCATATTGATTGTGTTGCTGGTGTTGTCCCCACTGTGCGTAGTCTACTTGCTCAATTCCTTGCATGAGTGTTGGGCAATCTGATGTTTTGTGCGCGGCTCCACATTCTTCATAATTGCTCTTTTTAGCTTGTGATGCTTGGGATATGCTTTCCACCTTGTGACACAGAGAGTCAATTTTTGCAAATATTGCTGAATAAGCGTCCACCTCATAGATACCTGGAGTTTTCTTTGGGATCGCCCTCTCAGAAGACCACATGGCTGATGTGGTAGCCATTCGCTCAAATAATTTCAATGCCCCATCAACTGTTCGTGTGGATATTGAGCCATCTGATGCTGAATCCACCATGCTCTTATGGTATGGAAGTGATCCTGTGTAGAAGAATCGGATTTGGGTCTTTTTATCGAACCCATGCTGAGGGCACTTCCGGAGCATGTTTTTGAATCTGTTCCAGGCTTCGTCGAATGATTCAGTTTCTCCTTGATTGAATACTGATATGTCATGCCTCAGCTTTGCTATCTTGTCTGGGGAGAAAAACTTTGTGCAGAATTTGTGTGCCAGCTCGTTCCATGTAGTGATACTCGCAACTGGGAGTGAATACAACCATTCAAGTTCTCTGTCTCATAGCGTATGTGGAAAAAGCCTTAACCTAATAGCGTCATCCGAAATCCCTTGGTATCTGAAATGTTGACACATATCTAGAAATCGAGATACGTGTGTGTGTGGATTCTCCTCGGCTTTGCCATAGAATTGGTGTCCATTTTGAAACAGCTGTATTACATTGGTCTTCAATTGAAAATTGGGCTGCCCAAACGGTGGATATACAATGCTGGATTGGCTTTGAATAACTTGAGGAGTCAAGAAGTCCCCCCAGAATTTCATTTCCTTCATCCATTGCCTCTCATTCGTTAGCTTGAATGATAGGATTGTTTAATTCGTTGGCCATTTGTACTTGTGCTTCGTGGTGATCTCTTTGTCGTCGATGAAAGGTGCGCTCAATTTCAGGAGCAGCTGGAATCAATTCTCCTCCAGGCAATCGTGACATGCAAATCTGAGAATTAAAACCAGTACGAGCACTGAGATTCAAACAATTTAAATAACTAAAACACAAATAAAGGATAATAACCTAAAATAAAAATAAAAACAGAAACAAAATTATACTAGCAAAATAAAAATTGAGTTCGAATTAGTGCCTCGAGAAATAAAATTAAACTAAACTCAATCCCCGACAATGGCGCCAAAAACTTGTTTACAAAATTATTTTTTTTCGATTTAAAACTAACGCAAGTGTACGGTTCGTTAACAAGTAATAAAGTGGATTAAATGAGTCCGAATATCATCCCACAGAGATTGATTTGTTCAAATTTTACCTACCGTAGCCTTAACCGAAACTAAATTACCAAAGTGAATGTAGACCTAATTGAACCTCAATCATGCAATTTTTTTATGATTAAATTGAAATTAATATGCAAAACAATAATTTAAAACTCTAGAATGAAATCTAAAAGTTGAGAATGCACGTTGTTATAATTATTAGGAATGATATACGCTAGGATCACGAATTTCCATGCAATTATCACTTTAAACCCTAGTTTCACAATATGACAACACATTTCAATTTTGACGAATCAATGTTCCTAAGTCTATCAAATACTCTCTCTCGAGATGTATCAAACATATTTCTATGTACCACCGGTCTATATTTCTATGACAGGAGCATATGTAAAAATGCATATGATTTTATGAACATTTAAAGATTCACATAGGGCATAGCTGTATATTTCTATCCACTATCGGATCCTACGATGATTTATATTATGTCAAATCTATTCCAATTCTCTCGAATGCAAGAATAAATCACTTAAATTCACACAATTACGAGCCCTTAATTGCGGAAACATTAATTGCATATAAATCATTCAAAATAATAAAAATTGTGTCTTCACATCAAATTGCAAAATGAGAATATTAAAATTCAAATCACATGATTCATCGATCTCCTAGCATAATAAAAATCTAGCCTAGCATGATTAAAATAACAAAATACATCATATTTTGAATAAAAGACATCACCGGGTTATGAAATCTTGCATAAATCTTGAACCTCTCCAAGAAGTGTTTTTCGGCCTCCAATTACGTTCTGGACGTCTCTGGAATGTTTTTGATATTTATATCCCGTTGAAAATTAGGTTACCAAAGGTGTTTCAATCGTATAAGGAAGGAAAAAAATCGCGCCGGAGACATACCATGCGACCACATGGTTTTAATCCGTGCGGCCGCATGGTTATTCTCTATTTCTAATTGAATTCCCTACATCACTTCGTGCGGCCGCACGACATTTCTACCATGGGACCGCATGGTAGAATTAAACTTTCATTTCCTGCAAATTGGTCTTTTTACTTGAATCTTCCACTTCTTTGCATCTTTTCTTCATTTTTCACATTCCATCATCCCAAAATGTCATCAATTTGTATTTGGCAAACTCAATTTCTTGATTTGTTCATCGGGTCAACTTTTGGGTAATTGCACCTTGGTCCTTGAACTTTTACTTTGTGTCATTTTAGTCCTTTTTCGCATTTTTTCTCATATATTTCACCATGTTCATCGGTGTCACCTACAATTCCCAAATGTAACAAAATTAAGTGACAATTCAATCATTTGATTCGTAATTAAGTCATGTTTTGTGACCTAAATAAGTATGCAAAAACACACTTATCAGTGTACATAATCAAGCTCGCATTAAGTGTGAAATGTTGATGAATCAAGAGCAACACATTCAATCAGTTTTCTACAAACAATCATAACAAGCAAGAAATGCATATGTTACACGCCTTAATGCATCCATTGATTGTGTTCGAGTTCATTTTGCGACAAGGGCACTCATTTCGATGTCATAATGAATCTGAGGATTCTCTCAATCCAGGTAACTTCTTAGTGCAATTGCAATTTTTGGCTGCTCATAATGAAGTTATCAATGCGTCACATTGGGAAATGCTCCTCACAATTACAAATTGACATAACCTGATATTCAAAAGGATATAGTAAATGCTTGTGCTATTGAAACGATCAATGTTATTATCAAAGATGTTGGCGACTCAATATTTTCTATTCTAGTTGATGAATCTTGTGATGTGTCAATGAAGGAGCAAATGTCTATTATTTTACGTTATGTAGACAATAGTAGGCATGCCAATGAACGCTTAATAGGGATTGAACATATTACAAGTACCACGGCTCTATCACTTAAGGCTGCAATTGATAAGGTATTTTCTAGATATAACTTGAGTATATCTAGATTGAGAGGACAAGGTTATGATGGAGCAAGTAATATGCAAGGTAAGTTTAATGGTCTGAAAACACTCATTTTGAAGGAGAGTCCATGTGCCTTTTACATTCACTGTTTTGTTCATCAACTTCAACTTGCGCTTGTGGCTGTGGCAAAGAAGAACATCCCTATTACTAACTTTTTTCGTGTGGTTGGGAACGTGATAAATACTGTTGGAGCATCTTCCAAACGTTGTGATCTTCTTCGAGAAAAACAATTAGACTTTATTGTTGAGGCATTGGAAAAGTGTGATATTTTAAGTGGACGGGGACTTAATCAAGAAACGACCCTTCAGCGCTCTGGTGAGACACGATGGAGTTCATATTATAATTCTTTGGTCAGCTTGCTTGCCATATTCTCTTTTGTTTTAGATGTACTTGCAGTGATTGTAGAAGATGAATCTTGTTCTTGTGATCGAAGATCTGATGCAACAAATTTATTGGAGTTGATACGAAGATTTGATTTTACATTTAATCTACAGTTGATGAGAAGTGTGTTGGGGATATCAAATAAACTGTCAAAGGCATTGCAAAGAAAAGATCAAGATATTGTGAATGCAATGCAATTGGTGAGATTGTGCAAACGATGACTCCAAATAATGAGAGACGAAGGGTGGGACTCCTTTTTGGAAGAAGTATGTTCTTTTTGTCATCAACATTACATTCATGTACCCAACATGGATGATATGTTTGTACGCCTTGCAATTTGTGGTCGCCCTCAGCGTAATTCTCCAGAAATTACAAATTTACATCATTATCGAGTAGATTTGTTCTACTCTGTCATCGATTTACAATTTCAAGAATTGAATGATCGTTTCTCGGAGGTAAATACAGAGTTACTCCTTTGTGTAGCTTGTTTATGCCCACAAGATTCATTTTCTTCTTTTGACAAGAAAAGCTTGATTAGACTTGCTAAGCTTTATCCATTAGATTTCTCTGCAGTAGATGGCATTGTACTTAGTGATCAACTTGAGACTTATATGTTTGACATGCGGTCTAACAAAGAGTTTGAAGGGTTGAATGGCTTTGGTGATCTTGCGGAGAAGTTAATTTTGACAAAGAAAGATAAGGTATATCCATTGGTTTATAGACTTTTGACTTTAGCATTGATTTTATCGGTTGCTACCGTTACTGTGGGGAGAGATTTTTCTGCAATGAGCATCATAAAGAATAGATTGCGCAATCGGATGGGTGATCAGTGGATGAATGATAGCACTATTGTTTATGTATAGAGAGATATATTTTTGAAACTCGATAATGAAGTTATTGTACGACGATATCAAAATATAAAAACTCGCAAGGAACAAGTTTAATATTTAAATTATGTCGTTTTTAGTGTTGTTGTAATATTGTTTTATTTTTTTTATCATCATTAAATCTATGACCAAAATCTCGAAATTCAGAGTTGAAAAATGATGCCCGCACTGAACATAAATCCTGGCTTCGCCCTGCACAACTGCCCATGCTAACGAGAACATACAGTTCTCACCATCGATCCCAATAGCTGCCAACAACTATCCACCTTCTGCAGATTTTAGGAAGCATCCATCCAACCCAACAACTGGCCTGCACCCAGCCTTAAACCTTTTCTTAAAAGCTCCTATGCAGATGTACAATCTCTTAAAAGTATGTCCCGAACCTTCGATTTGCATTGTACTGCCTGGATTTGTTCTCTTCAATTCCTCACCATAATCCCATAAAATTTTGTACTGCTCAGCTACAATCACATTAATAACTTCTGTACATTTCGATCTTGTCCTGTAGAACTGATGCTTTGAAATCTCATACATGCAGTCCTCTTTCACAGTCTCCATAAAACTACTCATCGAAATGTTGGGATCAGACCTAAATTTTCTAACGTATTTCTTTGCCAGAAAACCTGAATTAACCCTTTTATTTTGCCACACCATGGTACATGTGTGCTCATCTACAAATGTGTTAATTCTAAGACTCTTATCGGGTTGTTGGTACGCATACAAAATCCAAGGGCAATTATCTTGACACCGAACTCTCAACTGTGTCCTCATATTTTTCACGTATCTCAGTTGCCTGGAATTTTTGACTGAGTATTGAACTACTACATTCCTTAGAATCTTACGTTGTCGAATTTCATCCCTGGCAGAAATGAATTAAACCAGAATGCATTATCATCCAAATGAATTAAACCAGAAATGAATTACATAAAACTAATGCATTACCTAGCTTGAACTGTGGATCTTCCATATCAGTTGCAGGGTTAAACCAGCACACATTCTTCCTTCTGGCAGATGATCCCTCAGCCTCTGTATCATTGGGTAAGCTTCTAAACTCATTGGAGTCTTCGTATTCTATTCCAGATTCTTCCCCAGTAGCTGCCTCACCTTCATGCTCATCCCTTACACCTTCCTGCTCACCACTTACACCAATGTCAAAACTTTCACTCAACCTGAAATATGTGTTTTCATCATTATCCTCCACAGAACAATTTTCTTCTTGCTTGTACTCCGAGTCATTGAATTCCTCTCCCAAAATACCATCCTCATATTCATCATCCAGCTCAGAATCATCATGTTCCACACCATGCTCCACACCAATTTCAGCAACTGGTACGTCAACATGCGGTTCATCAAACTCCACATCAGTTTCAACAGCCTGCACCTCTGGTTCAGCATCATGCAACTCATGTTCAGTAGCTTGCTGCTGTGGTCCAGAAACATGCACATCAATTTCAGCAGGCTGCACCTCTGCTTCGACATCATGTTCAGCAGCTTGCGCCTCTTGTTCAGTAGCATGCAGCTCCTGCTGAGCCCCCTGCTGTGGTTCAGAAGCATGCGCATCAGTTTCAGCAGCTTGTACCACTACTTCAGTGTCATGCAACTCATGTTCAGACCTCAACTGTGGTTCAACATCATGTGGTTTCTCTGGTTCAGTAGCATGCACTGCTGATTCATGTGAGTCTACTTCAGCCCCTATAAAATCAACTTATGTATACTCATGCTCTGTTCCATGCACTGTAACCTCTTCGACGTAATCTCTTGTAAGGAAAACTTCCTCTTCATCTACTTCCATGTCATCCACTTCATCAACTACATACACGTCATCACTTTCTACTGATTCGTCATAAATCTCAATAGCATAGCATGGTTGCTGCTCATTCAATGCTTCACCAGACTTTTGAACCTTCACCAACTCCTCACCAGTCTCATAATCAATCACTTGAACATCCTTCTGTTCTGTTTCATCCCAAGGCAATTCCAAAACCTCAACTACAGGCAAGCAATATAGTTCAGCTGTCCTATTATCACCAAGCCACTTCACTAAATTCATGAAATCTAAGTCTTTAACCAACCAAAATGAACCTTCACTCAATCTTTTCTTCTCCATCTTGTACAGATATCTAATTCTATCAGAATATCCTAACATCTTCATGGCATTGTCCAAAAGAAATCTATTGAAGAAATCAGGGTCGATATAGTCTATATAACTTATTTTTCCATGCTCATACACAAAATTTCTCATCTTCTGAAATAAAATTCCACCATGATGAAGCCGTATGCTGAAGTACTTTGAATTTTTCCCTTAAAAAACACCGAAAAAAGGAAGTTAAGCCCTAACCCTTTTCAGTTCGAGCAACGAACATGTGCAGAAAAGATAGTACACAAGCATTACACTCTAATACACTAAATCACTTAAAATTTTTGAATTTCCCAATACGTGAAGACAATCGAACAGGGGAACTTCATAATCATACAACTTCACACCGTAAACCAAAAAAAGGGGAACACACTTGCCATACACGGGTTGGAGAAGAGAGCCTCGAATGTGGACTGCAATGTCCACTGGATGTTCGTCTTCTTTGACGTACGTTTCGTCTTCTTTGTGGGTTTTCGCAGGTTCCATAGTGGATGGTGAGTGGAATGAAGTTGCAACTGACGTGTTTGATGTTGAGGAGGGAAATGTGTGTAATGCCCATATTGCCCTTCACTTATTTGGGGAAAATTCTTGAAAATATCATTAAAGGGGTCAACTGACTGTTTTGATGGTCAAACAGACGAAAACCGTCATTTTGGACTGGCCCCACATATTTTTTAAAGGTTCGGTATCTCCGGTGGCACAAACTAAAGGTAGGGTTGCAACGGTTCGGTTATGGGTCGGTCCAGCCAAAACCATAGCCGCACCACCAATTTTTTGACCATACCATAACGGCACCATAACCACATAAATCGGTTCGGTTCGGTTATAATCTCGGTTCAGCACGGTTCAGTTCGGTTAATAACCAAGAAAATAAATTATTTTTTATAGGTTCATCTATCAAATTGATATAAAAACAATTTATGAAAAAAGTCAATGAAAACAAAAACACAATATTTTAAACGAAAATGCAAACATTATCAAACAATATTTCAAACGAAAAAGAAAACATTATCCCAATTTTCAATTGTAAAATACAAATTTAACAAACAATATTATAAATATAACAATACTAAAATTTTCCTTCATTCTTAATTATTGTGCATCGAAATTACTTGATTCATTCTTCCCCACAAATCTTGCTAGTATAGATCAACACTCAAAGTTGATTCCTATATAGTAAATAAGAAATGTAAGTAGAGAATACAACGATACTACCTATTCTAGAATGATTTTAACTAAGATTTAAATAAAAATATATATACCTCTTCGTCAGCTTTCTTCTCGCTAAACGTTGCACAATCTCTAGAGTATAATGAAAAAGTAGAATTTTCTACACAATAGAAAAAAATTAACAATAAAAGGAGTCGTGCGTGAGTTTGTGATTTGTGGAGAGTAGGGTTTGCATTTATATAATATCATGCTAATGCTATTATTATGGGCTAATGATAAGTGAGTTGGCCGACTGAGTCATGTAAATGTAATTGGGGGGAGGTGGGATTTTGTTTTGGGTTAGATAGAAGAGTAGTGTAAAACCCAATAATCAATTCAATTGTTTTTTTTTCTTTTAGCGGGTAATCGGTTCGGTTTCGGTTCGACGGCGTAAATACCATACCTGCACCGCCAAGAACCGATTCATTAAAATAAAAATCATATCCGCCCCATTACACCATCGGTTCAGTTTTTTCGCCCCATTCGGTTTGATTAATCGCGATTTTCGATTTTGACAGTTCAAATTATCATCCCTAACTAAAGGTTTGGGCAAAATTTGCTAATAAACGAAAGGTTTGGTACCTCGGCTGCAATTTTCCCTTTAAATTATGAAGTTTATAAAAGCTCGACAGTGATTGAGCACCTTATTTATCGGTAATTTTATTAATTAAGAGTCAAATGTGTGCAATTAGATTCACTAGGATTTCTTAGGGAAAAAATCCAAATCGAGCAATTTGAACTACTACAGCTACTCCTATTTCTACTCCTACTGTTATTGTTACGGTAGAGAACTTTTAAGGTCATGAGAATGTAACAAGAGATTTGATAATTAATATAATTCGAAGTATACGATATATATTTTGTACTTATTTTATTGTTTATTTGTATCATACAACAACATTCATAATATTTAAAATTGGGTTTGTCAAACATTCTCCTTATGAATTTAAAAAAAATAAAAATCTCCAATTCGATAATGCATTTTACCAAAATTTCTCTCTAACTTGATCTGAAATTGATAATCCAATGATGATAATGCATTTTACTGAATTCATTTGTAATTAAGTAATTTTTCAAGTTATTATGTGACATAATTGTAATATGCAACTGATAATGCCATACTAAAGAAGATTAGACACCATGATATGAAAAAGGGAATCTTTTATGGCGAATGGAAAATATTAATACTTTTTTTTAATCTTTATTCGGTGTGAGATTAATTATTTTATATGCATTACAAGATGGCGATTCGTGTGAGAATATTAATCTTGAAATTTTTATGTTCATACGTTTTAGTCATATCGAATTGTTTGTTAAAGTTTAGTGATCTCTACACATCGCAAGATGATGACTCGTGTGAAAATATTTATATTAAAATTCTTATTTTTTTTTTATTTTTTATTTGGGTACTGATACTCTCTGCTATTACTATTAAAATTTTACTTTGATCTCAAATCTCTCTGTCACTTCCCTGCTAGAATCTTCTTAATTACACTAATCCCTTCTTAATGACACTTCTCTTTTCATTGAAATGGGCTCCTCCAATTTCAATTCCAATTCCAGCTCCACTTTCACCACCATAATTAACCTTTTTTGTTTAGATATATCATATCTAAAGATAGCGAGAGTTCTGTAATAGATAACTGAGGAACAGAAAATTTTAAAAAAAATTAAAAAACAAAAAATCCAAGAAATAAAGAGGGAGAGTTTCAGCAGTAATGATTAGTTGCGTCATTTTGATCAACTACTTGTATGAGAGGGTTTAGCTTGGAATCTTTAGTTCTTTCAAATTTTCTGAGAATTTCAGTTAATCTTGGGAGACTGAAAAAGAGAAAGTACCCGAATTGGGAATTTCATAAAGTGGGCAAGATAAAGTAAGGAAAGATGATATCTTCGGGGATAAATTTGGTGATGACGGTGATTGGATTCACAGTGAGTACTATGTTCATAGTGTTTGTGTGTACGAGACTTATTTGTGCTCGAATTCATTTGAATTCCTCCAGGCGATCTTCTACCATGGCTTCTAGACCTAATCTTAGCATTGTAAGCACTTAATTTCACCATTCACTATTCAATTCTTCATGTGTGCTTTATGTATCGATGGGTCTAATTTACTGTACAATTTCACCTTACCAAAAAGGAAAAAAATTTAAATTCCCGTGTTGTCTTAGTCTCTAATGGGATGCTGTATGCGGGCCCCAATTTCTTTTATGAACATGAACATTGAGGTAAACGATGAAAAGGTAAAATTTTAGTAGCTGATTGAATAGTTATAACATATAATCATCATTTGG